ATTTTCAATAGCAAACTGTTAGTTTACCAGAGGGTATCCTTTGCAAATTGTATTTCATGCTTTTTCCAATGGAAGAAGAATCCGTCATTCACTGGCCTCTTGTTTTTCGGTTCCATCGCAGTTTCCAGAGGCTCAGCAGGAATGTACAAACGAGGTTTTTCCTACTGGTGCTAAACATAGGGAATACGGGAATGGGGTAATTGTGAATTTAGGTATGGATTTGATCATTCCATTATTATCGTACCCTATTTCCTACTATTATTCAGTTATTATTCCATTATCATTCTATTCCATTAGTAGTACTATTATCATTATTATTAAATTATTATTAATGTGGGTAAAACATTAATAAACCATCCCCCAGTCATCACCATTTTTATAGGTGGTATGGTTACCATTCCCAGTCATGGGTGGTTTATGGCATTTTTTTACCCACATTGGTGGTGGCGGTGGTGGTGGTGGTATTATATATTATTTTTGCAGTACGTTTAGAACCAGTAAGTTTTTGTCACCGAGACTGGGGATATCTTTGGTCAACGGGCACAGATTGGTGATCCATGCGCAGTCCGAGAGAACCAGCATTTAAGTTGGTTTATTTCTTTTCTAACAATTTCTAACAATTCAATGATCCAGAAAATAGTATATAGATTTACAGAATGCAAAACCTGATTTGTGGATTCTTCATAGGATTTAATTGTCCTGATTTGTTGGACCACGTAAGTTTAAAGTATACAACTTATGTGGTTTACGGGGCTCCCAGCCAATATTGGGCCTGATTTGGAGACTTGTTATCGAGATCGTTTGGGCTATGGATTTAAGCTGCATCTGTGGGGTAATTTGGGTCACTTTCCACTGCACACAGAACTCCCAACTTGCAAAATTCAGCGTGCAACTCGTCATTGGCTTTAAGTACACATAACCGATGTTTACGTCGACTGACACGTTTCACCAACATCAGATGGTTGAACCTCTATTTCGAGGGTATGACATATGTATATGATATATATATATATATTATATTATAATATATATATTATTACATATATATATATATTATTATATATATATTATTAAATATATATATATATATATTATTATATATATATATTATATATATATATATTATATATATAAATATTATTATATATATATTATATATATATATGTGTGTGTTTTGAATATATATATATATATTAAAGTTATCATTATATATATATATATGTGTGTGTTTTGAATATATATATATATATATATTAAAGTTATCATTATATATATATACACGCTCATTAATATAATACATTCATAGACACTATGTTTGATGCTTCAACAGCCCACCATATTTCCATGGGCTGAACATTGATCCCTTGATGTTTCGCCTGTAAAGTGACATGGTCCCCCCAGGTAGCATCTGTCGCCATTGATACCCCATTTTTGAACTAACCCATATAGGAAATTTAAGGGTCAACCGAAATCTACAGGAAACCATGCCCCCCCGCCCAAAAAAAACTCGGGGCTAATGAAAACTACAACTTGTGCAGCCGCTTTGAGCGGGTGTCAAATGATTGGGACACCTTTATGGACCCACAAAATGGTTCATTTTAGCGTGGACCATTCAGAACATGTTCCTTTCAAGCTGGTTTCACTTAAGAGCAGGGCATGTAGATGCATCCTAAACAACGATAAATTTCCATGAAATAATGCTTTGGAATATTTGGAGACCCAATTTTAGATGATAACTTGATAACATTCAAATACGTTCAGAAACCATCCATGTTGCGTCCAAAAAAAACTCATATTTTTTTAGTAAAGCAATATTATAAACCACCCATGTGGATTGATAGACTATGTATAGTATCACTGGCATTACTATCATTACGATGTCATTTTTTGGATGTGATTCCCCAAGCCAATCAACCATATTCAACCATCAATGAATCATAATGAATCAATGATATCCCCAAGCTTCCCAGCGACACTTTTTCGTTTCAATCGATCGCTGGTCGAAAAACTGCCGTGATGCCACAGTGCCTCAGGTTGGGACCGTTGTAATCGACACAAAACATCGCCAGCAGCCAGGTCATCTTCGTAAAGCAATGACAACGCGCCCAATATTTGGATGATTTATACAATAGATGTATGGATTTTATGGACAATTTTGGGGATGGTGTACTATTTCTTGACCAACATTAGGGAAGATGGTATGGCCTATAGATGTCTCTAGGAGATGTTCGTGCCTAGGGACCCCTAATTGGCTCTCCGAGGGCCATGTACCCACAAAGTCTATCACGTTTTGTACAACGAATTATATCTAATCATCCATTTCTGGGGTCAATGCTGTTTCATACATGGATAGATCTGTGGATATGTGTATATAATATGTATATATATACATATATGTATGCATATGTGTATAATATATATATATATGTATGTATGTATGTATGTATGCATGCATGTATGTATGTATGTATGTATGTATGATATATAAATATATATATATATATATGTATAATATATATATATAAATATATATATATAATATGTAAATATATATATATGTGTATAATATATATATATACATGTATGATATATACACATATGTGTATAATATAGTATATATATATATGTATGTTAAATATATATATATACATACACCCACGTTGACATGAATTTCTACGCATCCATAGAGAAAACACATATCCATGTGCACCACTGACCCAATGGACAGGGTCCTGACTGCGATTTCTTCTGCTTTAGGTGATCGATGAAAGACCCCATCTTGCTGCTTGTGGCCAAAGGTGATGAACAATCTATAATCATATAGAATAATCTGTATCATCCTTCCACTTGCTCATATCTGGGCAACGTATCATGATTCCCAAATTAGAGATCCTATATAAAAAATACCATTTGGTTAACTAACAGTTCGCTGTGGAAGCCATGGCTCATTTATACATAATTAAGATGGTTAGTTTACCAGAGGGTCAATGAGAATCTCTGCCATCCTCTCAGTTGATTTTTTGACATAGTCACCATTTGGGGGATGATCGGCCATTTCTTCTTTCATCTACAAAGAATTGATGTGTATATATATATATATTATATATATATACTGTTATGTATTATGTATTAATCTATTTAGGCTCAAGGCTGGAGCGGAGCTTCCAGCTACCTCCGGCCTTTTCCCTATAGCCATAGATAGATAGATAGATAGATGGATGGATGGATGGATAGATAGGTAGATAGGTAGATAGAAAAGTTGCAGCCTTCTGCGAATTTCCGTATCCTCGCCTCAGGCACCGGAGACCTTCTTCATGTTACCCTCCAAGCCCATGTTCTCATACCTTGGCACCGGGAAAATATGGGGAAAAAACGGTGCAAGAAATCCTGAGGTTCATCGATTCTATTGAGGACTACAATGACTACAGGCTTGGTGGAGATCCCCAACAAGTGCCTGGGCATTTTTTATATCAAATTATCATCAAATTATCATCATTCACAAATTAGAAATACTGTGAAATAGTCAGCATTTTGGGGACAATCCCCCCAATCCTACAGAATGAGGACCCAAGTTATGTTTCTAGCTTTGTGCTCCATGAACTAGCTGGGTATATCTACCATAAACCTATCCGTGGAATATGAGTTGCCAACTTAGCTACAACTAGACCCCATTAGAAATCTCATCTTAAATCCCATGGAAATGTCATTACCGTAGAAATCTCATGAAAAAATCCCATTATATAATATTACCCACAGACACCGTGTGTTGCCCAAGCCCAGAATAGCGTAAATTACAAGGATTTTTTGTTCACACTATACATCTCATATAAATTCTCCCACCCCCGTTAAACTTCTACATTCATTGAAGATCTTCAATAAGGGTTTAATTCTCCCACCCCCGTTAAACTCTTCCATTCATTGAAGATCTTCAATAAGGGTTTAATTCTCCCACCCCCGTTAAACTCTTACATTCATTGAAGATCTTCAATAAGGGTTTAATTCTCCCACCCCCGTTAAACTCTTACATTCATTGAAGATCTTCAATAAGGGTTTAATTCTCCCACCCCCGTTAAACTCTTACATTCATTGAAGATCTTCAATAAGGGTTTAATTCTTCCACCCCCATTAAACTTCTACATTCATTGAAGATCTTCAATAAGGGTTTAATTCTCCCACCCCCGTTAAACTCTTACATTCATTGAAGATCTTCAATAAGGGTTTAATTCTCCCACCCCCGTTAAACTTCTACATTCATTGAAGATCTTCAATAAGGGTTTAATTCTCCCACCCCCGTTAAACTTCTACATTCATTGAAGATCTTCAACAAGGGTTTAATTCTCCCACCCCCATTAAACTTCTACATTCATTGAAGATCTTCAATAAGGGTTTAATTCTCCCACCCCCATTAAACTTCTACATTCATTGAAGATCTTCAATAAGGGTTTAATTCTCCCACCCCCGTTAAACTCTTACATTCATTGAAGATCTTCAAAAGGGTTTAATTCTCCCACCCCCAGTAAACTTCTACATTCATTGAAGATCTTCAATAAGGGTTTAATTCTCCCACCCCCGTTAAACTTCTACATTCATTGAAGATCTTCAATAAGGGTTTAATTCTCCCACCCCCGTTAAACTTCTACATTCATTGAAGATCTTCAATAAGGGTTTAATTCTCCCACCCCCGTTAAACTTCTACATTCATTGAAGATCTTCAATAAGGGTTTAATTCTCCCACCCCCGTTAAACTCTTACAGTCATTGAAGATCTTCAATAAGGGTTTGATTCTCCCAACTCCGTTAATCTCTTACATCCATTGAAGATCTTCAATCATCATCATCATCATCATCGTCATCATCATCATCATCAACATGCCAGGAACGTCCCTGTAAATCTCCGGGCAACACAAGACACAAGGCGTCTGGCCGTAATATTATATATACATAGAATCCTATTTTTTGCACAGAAAGTCATACCGAACAAATCACGACTTCCCGTGACCCCGTTACGGACCCGCTCCGAACCGCCCAAGCGGCGCTTCGTTGCCACGGTTGCCAGCCACCTGTGCACCCAGTTCCTCTAGTAACGTGGCCTCCTCCTGCAGTTTGGCCGTCCATGGGTCGTGGTTAGTTTGTTAAGTACATGGATGATCATTGGGATATACGTAGTATACTATAGTGGTGATAGTATACTATTATAGTGGTAATAGTATACTATAATGGATTAGTATGATATATCCCATTACGTAGTATACTATAGTGGTAATGGTATACTATAATGGATTAGTATGATATATCCCATTACGTAGTATACTATAGTGGTAATGGTATACTATAATGGATTAGTATGATATATCCCATTACGTAGTATACTATAATGGATTAGTATGATATATCCCATATTTATGGATTAGTATACTATGATGTACGATATATATATATACATAGTATCTATATAGTCATCCAGTATATATATTACATATATATATATATACAGTGTTTATATAGTATTTATATATATAGTATTTATATAGTATTGATATAGTATTTATATTGTATTTATATAGTGGTTAACTTCATTGGGATATAGTATGATAGTTCGCGGTGTATATTGTGCCAGTTGCTAGCCAGGAATCTCGTTTTTCCCATGGCCCATCTAAGTGGAATACTGGTTGGTTAAGAACGGGACTTCTCGTGGATTGTGAGACTCCCCAATATGTATAATATATATATATATATATATATGTATATCTATATATATTATAGTATGTTATGTTATATCATATTATATGTTATATCATATTATATTTTTTATTATATTATATATTATATTATATTATATTATATTGTATTATATTATATTATGTTATATTATGTTATATTATATATATTAAACATATAATATAATATATTACATTAGTTTATACTATATATTATATTATATATTATAATTATAGTGTATTATATTATATTATATTATATCATATTATATATAGGTTGGTATAATCCCCAAACCAATCATCAACGAACTGCGCTTCTCAACACTGCTCTAACTTCAACTAGGGATAAACCCATCAAGGGATTCATGAGGTCGAAACGGGATCTAAATTGGGTGTTTAGTGATGACCCATGAGTTAACTCACCAGGGGATGTATATGGATTTATCATGATTTATGAAACATCAATTCAATAAAAACAGCGCTAGTGCGGATCTTAGTCCAATCAACCATACATGGGGAACTTGTCGCAAGTGAGAATAACAGCATCCAAACATGGAGATAGAAAATCTGGCCGGTGGTTTCAAATTTCCCATGTTCAATTCTACCCGGTTGGTTTTCCATACATACCCTCTGGTAAACCAACATAACTATGGAAAATCACAATTTTTAGTGGGTAAACCCACTATAAATGGCCATTTTTAATAGCTATGTTAGTTTACCAGAGGGTAATAGGATTTTGATTGGATTTAGTGGGATCTAATGGGATTATATTTGGTTATGGTCACCCATCCCATGCCATGGGAATCCTGAAATAATGGATATATTAATAAGGGTGGGATGATTTGGATATATGAATACCAATGGCTTTATACAAAGTGAGACCCCTGTTCACGATAGCTAAGTTGACGCACAGAACTTAGTGAACGTTTGGGCTAATGGGGGATATAACATGATATAACATGATATACATGATAGAACATGATATAACTATACATAACTATACATAACTATACGTAACTATACATAACTATACACAACTATACATAACTATACATAACTATGGGTCTATAAAACAACAAACATGATTCTAAGTGGGGCCTCACCTGTTCCCAAATCTGGCAATGACAAATCCCTGATATCAATGGAGGTGTTCGTCGGAAAACCATCGACAAATGGATGTGAAAAATGGCCACGTTTGACGTTTGATGACCGCTACTTGAAATCATCATACCCTAGCTAGCTCTTTGATTGAAAGCCTAGTTAAACCCTAGTTAGTTTCAGTGATGAACATCATTGTTTCCTGAACCCTAGTTAAACCCTAGTTAAACCCTAGTTAAACCCTAGCTAATGAAAAACCCTAGTGATTGTAACTTAGCTAGCTACTTGGCGGGCGGTCCAGCGAAAACGATGGGAGATCTCGCCAGTGTGGCCCAGGGCCACACCGCTACTGGAAGCTGGTTGATTGTTACCATACCACTTGGCTTTGTATGAAAATTGGGAAAAAAAAGGTTTACCCTCTGGTAAACTAACATAGCTATTGAACATGGCCATTTATAGTGAGTTTTCCCATTAAAAATGGTGATTTTCCATAGCTATGTTGAATTACCAGAGGGTATCACCATTTCTTGAAACTTGAAAATTGCCATTTGGAATCATTTGGACTTTTCGACACCATTGACAAACCCCTTTGCTCTCTGGTTTCATCAAACATGGCTGGATTTTCTCCACCTTTCTAGATGATTATCCTAACATATCCTAACTATAAACTCTCCATTTATGGATGACTTTCCAGCAAGCTATGTTTTATGATGTTTTATGATCATCATTCACGTCCCAGTGTGAAAATTTCAAGACCCCATCTCCTTGGTCACGGTCACTCGCAAGGCCGCCTTGGTTCGTAGGGATGGGTGGAATGTAGCCCAAAGGTAAACTAACACTTTGCGAACCATGGCCATTGAGTTAGTTGATTTACATATTAAAAAAAATGTGATTTTCCATAGTTATGTGGGTAGATCATTGGAAATCACAAGTACAAATCGAGACCAATACTTTGACTTGAGACATTAATATCCAATCATAGATAGACCCAATTCTTGATAAATCATCATTGGATTGATTGAAGGGAAATTTGACAGGAAGCTCCGATATTTCACGCTAAAGATCATGGTTTCCTGTAGATGTTCCCTTCAACCCATCCAGTCAAATCACCAATCTCCCCTTTTTGGTTCTCATTTACCTACGATAGTAGCCAAAGCGGCTAAAGTGCAATAATTCACTAACCTCAAATGAATAAATAAATAAGATGATTAAAAAAGCGGTTACCCAGTTTTCCAGTCGTCCCATCTAGGGTGGCGTCAGCCAGACACTTGGAGCCGGAAGGCCCACAGTGACCTTTTGGAACCAGTGACCTTTCTGAATGCTGGGTTCCGGTCAACCTGTTGGGGGTTGGAGACTACGTCCGACATGCCAAGTTAGATTTCATATGGTTTCTCAAATATAGGGTACCCTCGATTTTTTCAATTGAAATTCAATGATTTCAATGGCTGAACACTTCATTCTTCCCAATTCAATGGCCATTTGGGGAACACTTCATTTTCAGACACTCCGAAATTCAGACACTCCGCGCTGTCATATTGTTGGTTATTCATTCCAGCCATGAATATCCCATTAAATCATCATTCTCAACCGTTAAACCCCCACGTTTATATATAGATTTACAAGCTGAAAGATTCCCGTCATTCCAGTTTTTCGTGACGATGTGACACCATTTTTTTCATCCAGTTTTGATGAATTTCCCAGACTTATTGATGAATGATAAAAAAAAACACCACTTCCACGAATTTTATGGAGTATATCATATGCCATTAAATCCAATATATGAACTTAAATTCCAATCAAAAAAAACAACAAAATATGACATGCATCACATGTTTCGAGTAGAAAATCCCATTTAACAAAAAAAACTAATAAAACTAATATATTCCAATAATAATATCATCCCATTAAGATCCCTGGTACTCTCCCACGATCCAAGCCGCGAAGTTCGCCTCCGCATTGGGTATTTTGGTGGTGCCTGGAATGGCGATCATGGTCCTAGCGGAGCAGTGGTCAGTTGGTCTTCTTTCCGCAGCTCATGGATGAAATGAAATGGGGTATCCCCAAGCTCGCTGGATGGTGACTATTTCATGGACAATCGGATGAGAACTGGAGGTACCCCCATTTAGCCCATTTATGGAAACCCCCATGTAATAATTTTTAATAATCAACCACCATTGAACACTGCTCACTGCAATTGTCAGCAGCAAAGGTGGTGAACTTTTCGCCCCGGAAGTTACGAGATTAGAGGCAAAATGAGGCAAACATTGGAATAAAATGAATAAAACAAGCAGAAGCAGCGGTAACTAGGCATGTTTACATCAATTTCAACGGGATGGGACCCTGGGACCCTACATCCCTCAAAGCGGGTTGACCAAGTCGACCCACAGGACCCACGAGTTCTAGGGAGCATTTTTCATATTTTTGCAAAATGTCCAGAAAAAAATGGATTTCCAGAGGACTTTGAAATCCCAAAAACAAGCTATTGTCCAATGAAAACACTACGGATGGACCAAATTGTCCCCAGCTGAAAGCACCAAGTTTACAGCCAGGGCTCAAGCCCAGCTCACCTGCTTTGAAGTAGAGCCTCGTTCCATGAAACCCAGGGCCCCTTCAATGGGTGGAAGGGCGAAGCAAACATTGAACGATGACGCTTCCCAGCCCTCCAAAAGGGACGTGAAATCCCTATGTATTCCCTATGTATACATGTCATAAATTCAGAGTTGAGGTTTGGTGAGTTGAGGTTTAAAACGTTACATCGAAGTCCGGCCAAAAGGTGGCGAAAATTTGGTTGAATCTGGCTCGATTCATCCAGCTGTCCCTTCAACCACGAACTTACGAACTTTATCTGGTTTTTCAAAGTTCTTAAACACCCCAACCAATTGAAACCTCCTAAATCTCCCATCAAAACCCCTCATGGTTCTGCCCATAAATGCAAAAAAAAACACGTTTCATGTTATCAAATTTCAAGAGCAATGCTCTGTGGGGGGGTACGGTCCTCAAAAATGATGGTACGGTGAAGGGTGCGGTACGTTGGGTACGGTGGTACGGTACGGTGGGTACAGTTGGTACGGTACGTTGGGTGCGGTGGGTACGGTACGGTGGGTACGCTGGGTACGGTACGGGAGGTATGGTGGGTACGGTACGCTGGGTACGCTGGGTACGGTACGGTGGGTACGCTGGGTACGCTGGGTACGGTACGGGAGGTACGGTAGGTACGGTAAGATGGTACGGTGGGTACGGTACGGTGGGTACGGTGGGTACGGTACGGTGGGTACGGTGGGTGCGTACCTGCACCCACCGTACCGTACCCACCGTACCCACCGTACCGTACCACCGTACCCACCGTACCGTACCCACTGTACCCACTCCACCGTACCCACCGTACCCACCGTACCGTACCCACCGTACCCACCGTACCCACCGTACCGTACCCACTGTACCCACCGTACCGTACCCATAGAAAGTGTCATATGTACCCTACCCGTGCTGAATCATCAGAAAACATGCTTTTCATTCCTCTTGAAATTAGATAAGTTTCATGATTTTTCCATATTTTTCCCAGAAAAAAATACCAAAACCATCATGGGTCCCACCTTCCAAAACCCCAACAGCCGCCCCTCCGCATCAAGGTGCCAGGCTAAGGACAGCTGCGCGGCGCTGCATTTCTTGCTCTCCGCCATCGCTTCGATCTTCTTCAGTAACTCCTGGTGGGAGAACTTCGGCTGGTGACCAGCCAAAAGGGTCGAATTTTGTAAGGTGCCTTATAGGCATCTGATCATCTGTAGAAATAGGTGTTTGCGTTTTATGAATATCTAGACATTTCATGACATTTCTATATCTTGAAAATTGCTGGGTGGTTCACCGTTGAACCATCAAGAAATGGAGATTGCTATGGAAGCCATGGCCCACGGAAATGGATGATATAGTCATTGGGTACCCCAGAAATTGTATGGTTACCATAACAACTGCAATAATATAGCCTCCAATTTCACCATAAATAGGTTTTATAAACCATTCCCAAATGGGTGCTTTCTGATTTTTTTACACACATTATATACTGATAATCAAAAGACCGCATAATGCATAGAACAGATTAGAACAGTATCAACAATACTTCAGATCTGTGCCAAAATTGGTATATTCAATACTAGGGAAGAGGAAACACAACATGAGCAGAAAACCTGGGAGATTACGGAGATGATTCTGTTTACATTCAACTTCTGTGGATCCATCTCACTTGACTTGCGGCTCATCAAAGGTGGCTGGAAAATCCCTGATTTCAATAGCAGTTTCAATTGGAAAATCATACCGGAGGGTAGTACATACCCAATTTTCACATATTTGGACCATTCGCCTCAATCCTTCGTAGCCTCATCACTCCGGGTGAACATTACCATCCCCATCATCTATTCCCAGGATCCAGGAAGCTCTCCATAGTTCCCATCCAGGCCCACTTGTTGGCCAGATATTTGTGTGTAGTCAATTGAATTCAATTTGTATACCCTCCAGGAAAATATGACGTACGTAAATCATTCTTTTATGTATTCTATGATATCACAAACTAAGCCACAACATTCCCGTTGTACATCCCGAATAATGTATCCCCAACTATTCTATTGATAACCCTCCATTCCCAGCCAACTCACATCAACCAGCTGGCCATGAAACTGAGTACCCGCCACGTCTGATGACACGTTTGAGGGTAAGCAGTACTAACCACTATTCACCATTATTGGACATGATCAACCACTATTAACATCAATTAAACACGATGAAACTAGTGTCAACATGATTAAACACTATAAAACCACAATTAAATCAATTAACCATTATTCAAACATGATGAACCTGATTATCAACCACTATCAACCATCAGTACAAATTATATATGAACCACTATTACAGCCACTAACCATGATTCACCACTACCGTTCTTCAGCTTATCTCCAGCACCCATCTCCCTGCCTGGTTCCGCTTGAGATTCTCCTCGCTGTAGCGCGGCTGGTTCTTTCGCCAATCTGTTGGCACCTCCGTGGGTGCCGCCGCCAGCAGATTTCCTCGCAGCTGGTGATACAAAGTCAACAAAAAAACATGGGAAAGGCCTGGGAAGATGTTTAGTATACGGTGTTGTTAAGTAAGTCTACATGCTGGTGTTTATAATATGTTATAATTATATGTTATATTATGTTATAATATGTTAGAATACCGTTCTTCAAAGTGTTGTTTAATGATGTGGTATACTAGATAGATATACTAAATACGGCCGAAAATAGCTGATCTTTTGTTTTAAAAAATGTTGTATAGTAGCAATTGGTCTTACGTTAGGAAAGGAATATACTTCTGTGTTCGAATGAGATGTTTAGCAAGTTAAAAACCGTGGACATGAATTTGTCTTTTAATGGATATTGGAGGAACGCATCCCCAAAACATAGAAAATTAACATAAAGAAATCATCCAAGAATAGTCAAACAATGATAGAAAACAAACGGACTCAACAACAAAAAGTGGTTGAAGGCCTGTTTTGAGTGACAAAAATGGGTATCTGAGCAGCAAAGCGCGGAAATCCGCCGTCCAAAATGGGGATACTACCAGCAACCTGGGATGTCAAGCAATGATGTCCCGGATTGATACATCCTGAGTGAGCACTAAAAGTGTAACTAAATTGGTGTTTCCGGAAAATGGGGGTACCCAAAAAGGATTGTTTATACTGGAAAAACCTATCAAAAAAAAAAATGGTTTGGAGATACCCCCATTTTAGGAACCCCCCCCTTTGAGTAAATGAGAGTAAATCCACCAGTCAAGATTGATCCCAAACCTCAAGCCACGTGCTTCACTGAAATGTCACAAGCGACGCGCAAGGGGACTGTAGGCGACAATGGCAATTCCAAGTTCCTGGGGATCCCACAGTGATGGCTATGTTGGTGTGTAAACCCATGTGAACCAAAAAAACCCACGAACTAGGTTAACTACGGTTTTTGGTATATATCTATTTGATCCTAGTTGGTTTATACAGTAAACCCCATGAATACTATAGTTCGAAGATGTTATAAGGACCATAAACCATAGCTATTGGAGTTACAAGCATGCCAACTTAGCTCTCGTAAACGGGGGGGCATACTATCCCAAGCGTTTCTGGGATCTTGGATACATAATCCCATCTCGCAAATACTATCCCTTCAATGCTCCCAAATATGTGGCTTCATCCCGCAAAAAAAACATGTACTCAACCATGATTTCTTGGTCTTTGACACGTGGATCCCACAAAAAGCAACTGGCAACCCTCGTCAGTAAGTGGGTGATCCTCCAAGTGCTGTGTGAGTCGTCTGTGCCGTCTATGCATCTGTATCTATATGGGGATTTCCTTATAGCTGGATGGGTACCTCAATAGCTGGATGGTTTAGGGAAAAGCCTAACATAGATGATTTGGGGGTACCCCTTCAGGAAACCCCCATATGATTGAATCCCGTGAATTCCAAATCGTTGATCTTGTTCAAGCTCTCCTTGCAGCAATCCAGAAGGATCTCTTCAACGAGGTTCCTGGCTGCGACTTTCCAGTTCTTTCCTGGGTTTTGGTGCCTTAAGATATCTTTAAATTATGGTGGTTTAACCATCCAGAAATTGGGATTTAATTTAATGGGTTTTAATGAGAATTTACCCTCTGGCAATTTAAAAGTTTGCTATGGAGAATCGTCAATAGGTAAACCATCTAAATGTATGAGTGACCTAGGACAGCAGAACCTGGAAATCCTGAAATATGTATTGTGTCATTTTTCTGTCATGTTTTGTCATTGTTTTGTCGTTTGGGTGTGTCATTTGTCATTTTCTTGTCATTTGGGTGTGTCATGTGTGTGTCATGTTTCTGTCAGTCTTGCGTGCTCCAAATGCGGGTTTCCAACAAGAACGAGAAATTACAGAACAATGCTCAAATGACAAAAAACACAAGGAAAAGCACGATTTTTGACATTGTCAAGCTCTGCCGCAAATGCAGGGCACCAAAAAAAACAAAAATCACAATATATATATATATATAACAGAAAAATGACAAAAAAATACGAAAAAACGATACGTTGCAATGCCAAAAAATGACAAAAACATGGTTTGATCTGATATATCCACTATGACCCCATCCGTTAACCTAAGTCGTTACAACCCCACCGAACCATTGTCTGGGGGCCAGTTCTTGCAAGTGAGAAAAGGACATCTATGCTGAATTCCTACGTTCAACCAGGGTTTACCCGTTCAACCCCCATATTTCATGGTTTAACTTCCAGTGAAAAAGAAAGTCGTTAATAAGTTAATATTGTTTGATTGTAAAATACGATTTGTGCTTGTAAAGAAAAAAAACATGATGCAGATAAGACACTCTTTCATATGGCAAAAGCGTACTTGTTCATGGAACAACAGCCATTGTTCATGGTAAAACACACATGTTCTTGGTGGTGAAAACTCCAGCCATCCTCAGGCATGCTCGGATTGTATAGCATTTGGTTCATATTGTTCTGCTCAAAAAAAGTGTTTCAATAAAAAACACAAAAAAAAAACATCAAATTCATAAAATATATAAATTGTTTTAAAAAGAAAACGCAACCAAAAAAAAGACACCAGAATTCCATTGCATAGACCCCATTTGGTTTCACGGAATCTCCCAGCATCTCCGCTGCGTCCAGGCACCGGGTGACCAGGCTCCACTCGATCTGCACGGCCGTCACCGGGTGGATGGCGTGCAGCGTGCGGGTCCACTCCGGGCTGAACTCGGAGAGTCCCACGTACTTCACCTTTCCCATGTTCACAATCTCCTGAAGCTCACGGGAATGGATTGGTTTGTCAGGGAAAATCGCCGGAAGCCATGTCAATTTTTCCGAATGGATAAGGTATAAGGGTATATTAAACATTATATAACATTATATAACAACCATATACAACCATGCCAAATGATGGATAATGTTCACGATCTCCTGAAGTTCACGGGATGATATCAATGGATTGGTTTACCCGGAAAATCATTGGAGAATCACTAGTGATTGGAAAATCAATGGTAGATATATGATGGATAAGGTTCACAATCTCCTGAAGTTCACGGGAATGGATTGGTTTGTCAGGGAAAATCGCCGGAAGCCATGTCAATTTTTCCGAATGGATAAGGTACAAGGGTATATTAAACATTATATAACATTATATAACAACCATATACAACCATGCCAAATGATGGATAATGTTCACGATCTCCTGAAGTTCACGGGATGATATCAATGGATTGGTTTACCCGGAAAATCATTGGAGAATCACTAGTGATTGGAAAATCAATGGTAGATATATGATGGATAAGGTTCACAATCTCCTGAAGTTCACGGGAATGGATTGGTTTGTCAGGGAAAATCGCCGGAAGCCATGTCAAATTTTCCGAATGGATAAGGTATAAGGGTATATTAAACATTATATAACATTATATAACAACCATATACAACCATGCCAAATGATGGATAATGTTCACGATCTCCTGAAGTTCACGGGATGATATCGATGGATTGGTTTACCCTCTGGAAAATCATTGGAGAAGCACTAGTGATTGGAAAATCAATGGTAGATATATGATGGATAAGGTTCACAATCTCCTGAAGTTCACGGGAATGGATTGGTTTGTCAGGGAAAATCGCCGGAAGCCATGTCAAATTTTCCAAATGGATAAGGTATAAGGGTATATTATATATTAAACATTATATAACATTATATAACAACCATATACAACCATGCCAAATGATGGATAATGTTCACGATCTCCTGAAGTTCATGGGATGATATCAATGGATTGGTTTACCCTCTGGAAAATCATTGGAGAATCACTAGTGATTGGAAAATCAATGGTAGATATATGATGGATAAGGTTCACAATCTCCTGAAGTTCACGGGAATGGATTGGTTTGTCAGGGAAAATCGCCGGAAGCCATGTCAAATTTTCCGAATGGATAAGGTATAAGGGTATATTAAACATTATATAACATTATATAACAACCATATACAACCATGCCAAATGATGGATAATGTTCACGATCTCCTGCAGTTCATGGGATGATATCAATGGATTGGTTTACCCTCTGGAAAATCATTGGAGAATCACTAGTGATTGGTAGATATATCTATAACTAGGGAAGTTTTCAACCACTAGGAATGGATAAGAGATTGGAATCCAGGTGTAACAACCATGTCAAAGAATGGTTAGTAATGGTTAAGAGTGATGAATTTTTATTGATCATCACTAGGAATGGTTTTTTAAGTGGTTGATACTGGTTAATAGTGGTAGATATGACCAGCAAAACTCGGGAACTTCACCCGGATGGGACAACGGGGACAACGGGAACAACCACCATGCCATGCCAGGGATTTGAGGGATTGGATTATCCCGAGATTTGCCGATGGGATTTTCCACGAAAGTTGCAGCGAAGTTCGGTGAAGTGTACCAAAAAAAAAAAAACATATGCTGTGGGGATATTCCCTTTCCAATCAAATTTAGGATCCTGGAGATCTCCCATTGATTCTATGGGGATCTCAGTCTTGCTGAGGAGAGAGGACTGGACTCCATGGAACACTTGGGATAAATTTGGTGCCCCAAAAAAACCGGTGGTTTTTGTGTCCACTTAGTTCACCAACGGCCATGGATTTTGTGCAAAGGATATGTTTTCATCATCAAAGAATGGTCATGTTTTTTTTCCAGGGTTTTGACATGGATTTGTTTGGCGAAATGTGGAGTCATGAGATTGATGTTCCGGGGATCAAACTTGATATGTAGATACTGTATTTTTTTCAAATATTCCCTAGAATATTTTACCGTCGGATGAGTTGAACCTGGTTTCCCTTCAGTTTTCTTACTCCTCCTGTAAATGGGATGGTTTATATATTATGTTTATATCACTGGTTTTCTTGTTTTTTTCCCGGCCTCAACTGTCAACCCTCCCAGTCCCGCATGGAGCGCATCCATTCTTCAGCTTGTTCCAGGGTTGGAGGTGGCCTGTGCTGCTCAGTACGGTTCTGACATATTTTGGCAGATCGCACGCCAGGGTGTTTCGTGCGAAAAACGGAGATATAGGTATGGGTCAAAATTGGGCACCCCCAGGAATTGGATGGGGAATTCTGAAAAAACAAAAATCTGTGGTCTCTCAGGTCTTACATTTTGACTCATATCCATAAGTTATGACTAACTGGCAAACACAAATGGTGATGTTCGTCAACCAACAATCATATGGAAGGAAAATGGCTAATGTCGAATACACTGGAAACAGGTTAACGATGGTTAACCGATTACCAACCTTTCTCGAATTTGGCCCAGGAAAGGAGGTAGTTGCTCCTTGAAGCTGACAAACAGTACGGGTTGCATATTTCTAGGACCTAGCACTCAAATAGAATTGTTCATGTATACGAAAAGTTATCGTAAGTTTTGAAACACACACATATGGTCCATGTGTAGTGACCAACTTTCACATAGCACTAAATTTAGGAAATGTGGACAGCGGGTATACATGGCATAATCAATTTTACAGCCAAAAAGAAACATGGTTGTAACCTCCATGCCTGCAAGATCCAAATCGAGATATTCCTGAAATTTGGGCTGGCCAAGCCCCCACACCCCCTTTTGTTTTGGTATGTGTTTCCCATTTTGGAACCCCTACTCTTTGGCAATCAGCTCGCAAGCTGAGCAAATCCCCAACCTAAATGGACATGTTCATGGAACAATCATTTTCATGAAAATGGCCATTTATAGTGGATTTACCCATTAAAAATGGTGATTTTCCATTGCCATGTTTGCTTTCCAGAGGGTAAACGAGATGGTTTTTTTCACAAAGCGTTGACCTGGTCTATCCAAAACATGGTCAGGTCCACCCCACCTGTGGATGTAGTATAGGTCTATACCTGAACACGAGCAGATTCTCACAAACCGAGAGCACAGAGCTACAAATCAAAATCTTAGACATCCTAAGAAGCCCACGGACCCCCATTTTTAGTTTTTGCAATAGTAGGTGGTTTTATTAGGTAAGTGGGGTTAATGCAACTATAAGGTAACCCACATATCAAGCAGGGTCACTGAATCATCCCTAAGAGTTCATCTTCGTTTTGTGGTTGGTTGATGTCCCAATTTCCTGGAAACACTTCGATTCCCATCCCCTCCAATAACGCAACTCACCTGAAAATAGGACAGTTTTAGTTACGTCTATAATCATAATATATCATAATTATGTATACGTGCATTTGGATATTTATAAAGGAAAAAAGTGAACGGTATTACTCTAAAACAGCACTTTTGTCGGTCCTTATACCTTTCAATTTTTGAGCCATAGCCAAATATTGCGTAGATTGCATACAAGTGTGATTGTACAAAATAGCGATGGTGGAAACAACCCCATTTTTTAATTGATGCCCACAACCACTACTAACCACCATTAACATCATTAACCACCATAAAACCCCATTCAACATTATTAAAACCATTATTAATCAGTATTCATCACCATCAACCACCACCCCTACTATAACCACTATGAAGCACCACCATTGAAACCCCACGTACGGTACCTACATTTATATGTACGGATATTTAAACAATGCAATAGGTATTTTATACTACCTCCGGGCAGGTTTTCCCTGGCCCGGCCAACCATCTTAAATATACAGAAGTTAACCATTTAAATATACGGAAAAAGGAGCTGCCGGCGACCGCTCCACCATCTCAGTACCTGGTGCAAATGGCAAATGTCCACCGTTTCGATCCCCTCGCTGGAACTTCCACCCAGGAAACTCCACCTAATTAACTTGCAACCAGACAACGGGAAACTAAGGAATTTCCACTCACAAAACTCCACGCAGGTAAGTCTTGCTGAGGAAGAAAGATTCCAGCAATTCTAGCCAGGTAAGTCCACCTAGCCAATTTTTCCCCGGGACAAAGGAAAGCAAGGAATTGCTAGCTAGGGTACCCCACTCAAGAAACTCCACCTAGGGAATTTCTCTGCAGACAGAGGGAAGCCAGCAAATCCCTTAAATTCCAAAAAGGGAATTCCAAGAAGGAGCAGGAGCACTGCAAGGAACTTGCACCCAGGAAACTCCACCTAAGTAACTTGCAACCAGACAACGGGAAACTAAGGAATTTCCACTCACAAAACTCCACGCAGGTAAGTCTTGCTGAGGAAGAAAGATTCCAGCAATTTCTAGCCAGGTAAGTCCACCTAGGCAATTTTTCCCCAACACAAAGAAAAGGAAAGAATTGCCAGCCAGGATGCCCCACCCAGAAACTCCACCTAGGAAATTTCTCTGCAGAAAGAGGCAAGCCAGCAAATCCCTTAAATTCCAAAAAGGGAATTCCAAGAAGGAGCAGGAGCACTGCAAGGAACTTCCACCCAGGAAACTCCACCTAATTAACTTGCAACCAGACAACGGGAAACTAAGGAATTTCCACTCACAAAACTCCACCCAGGTAAGTCTTGCTCAGGAAGAAAGATTCCAGCAATTTCTAGCCAGGTAAGTCCACCTAGGCAATTTTCCCCAAGACAAAGGAAAGCAAGGAATTGCCAGCCAGGATACCCCACCCAAGAAATCCCACCTAGGTTTTTTTTCCGCAGAAAGAGGGAAACAAGCAACTTCCACCACCACCCGCGAAATTCCACCTAGGGAATTCATCTAGGAATTCCACCCAAGAAGCAAGGAACTTCCACCCAGGAAACTCCACCTAGGACATTTCTTGCAAGAAAGAGAGAAGCAAGCAATTTCTAGCCAGGCGCTTCCACCCAGTTCGAATTTTTAATGAAAGGAATTTCCACCAAAGCCAAAATCGTATAGTACAGTACAACCTAGGATCATGATTAGGCACACATGTATTCAGGGATGTTGTCACACCTGTTCCCAGCTGTCGGGAAACAAAGCGACAGAATTTCGCCGCCCAACGGGTTCCAAAGGCTCATTACAATCATTGTTGTTGGGGGGGCCGGGGAGCAACCACATTTTTTCTGCGCTAAGCAGACTGCGCCATAGTATCCATAGTTCTGGTAGGCCCGGCAATGCAGCTGGCGACTGGTGACCAGTTGTGTGGTATGTGGTAGTAAGGGACTCGAATTAATGACAAAAGTGATCTGGCACTGGCAACAACTCTTTGCAGCAATGTCTGGAACCAAATATGGAAAATGGACGATTGCATTTGTTGCTCTAAGATAATTTTCACGAACCACCACGAGCCATCACTCGCAGCTTGTGGAGGTGCTCCACCTGAAGCAATGGGCATTTCGAATAACGCTCTTGGCCCTTGATCACGTAGCGGTAGCGATAACGATTCTTGCGTAGCGCTTCCAGCGTGCACCCTTCATTTCTGCATCTCACAAAGTCACCATCAATGTAGAGGGAGGGGGCCGACACCTGTGGAAAGAAAAATCGCAAATCAGAATGAATCAGAATTGGATAAAAATTCAGCTGGGCCAACACTTCCATAGCCATTTGCACTTTCTAGATCTATCCCTTTTTGATGGCAACGAAATGCTGAAAGAATGCATGCCTCTCTTTCGTCCACCGGCACTCTGTTCTTCTTCGTCACCTGGCGCACAACCAGCCAAGCAAAAACAAACTTATGCCTACTGAGTGAAACATTCGCTATGATCCGTTCATATGCGGAGACGTTACTGTACATATTCGTCCCGGCGGACCGGAAAGTGAGGTCGTGAATTACAGTTTTTTTCAAAAATCATCGTTTCGCCTAGGCGAAAACACAATTCAGCGATCACAAAAACTCTGAAATTCAGACGTCTGAATTTGGTGGTTTTCTAGATAAATGTGTATTTCCCCTAGGCGAAACGCAATTTCTGCTTCAAACAAGTTCAGGCATGCTCAGCAAGTTCACACGAACGTTAACATGCCCCACCCCACCCCACCCCACCCCGTCATCAGCGTAGCATCAAGAACCTCAGCAAGTTCACACGAACGTTAACATGCCCCACCCCACCCCACTCCACCCCATCATCAGCGTAGCATCAAGAACCTCAGCAGTTCACACGCTGCCCCACCCCACCCCACCCCAACCCATCCCATCTCATCAGCGTAGCATCAGCGTAGCATCAAGAACCTCAGCAAGTTCACACGAACGTTAACATGCCCCACCCCACCCCACCCATCATCCACACGAACGTTACATGCCCCACCCCCCCCCCCACTCCATCATCACCGTAGCATCAAGAACCTCAGCAAGTTCACACGAACGTTAACATGCCCCACCCCACCCCACCCCACCCCATCATCAGCGTAGCATCAAGAACCTCAGCAAGTTCACACGAACGTTAACATGCCCCACCCCACCCCACCCCACCCCGTCATCAGCGTAGCATCAAGAACCTCAGCAAGTTCACACGAACGTTAACATGCCCCACCCCACCCCACTCCACCCCATCATCAGCGTAGCATCAAGAACCTCCGACTCGAAAAAGAAGCGTTTCGCGACCTCAGTTTTCGGTCCGTAGGCATATTCGTCTTGCAAAAGTTTGACTTCGAACATCGGTTCAAAATATCTGTCAACCATCGGCCACCCCCTTCTGCCGTCGCGTCACCTTGAATCCGTCCCCACTGCAGGTGACATCTCCACTGCACCAGGTTGATCAGCCATAGATTTCTCCGCAATATCATCCTTGAATCAAAAAGGGTTGCACCCTTTTCCTTTGGTGTAAACATGTGGAAACTTATTTCATATAGATGGAACTTTCTTTTAGGTGGAGCTGTCATTTCATGAACCATGAGAAGAGGCTCGAACCCTAACTACCCGGTAACTAGCCATTCTATTCTGCAGCACTAAAAAAATCATGTTTAAGATTGGTCAAGCATGCAACTGAACTCGTCCCATGAGAGCTGCAGCCGCAAGAGCTGGTTGAGCTTTTCCTGAAGGCCCTGCTTATAGGCGATGTCGTCCTCCTCGGAAACTGTATTGGCCTCCACACAGGGGTGCAACACTTCTGGAGCTTTCAAGTCTTTCAGCCGAAGTTGGAGCCAGGATCTGCTGACCTTTGCTGGCACACTATCACCTTCACTGCGACGAACCCCCACCTCTGCCTGAAGTGTTTCGTGGAAGGATTTGGCCGAGGTTGGTTCTTTGAGATCACACGCTCTCTCTTGTGCAGTTCATCAACAGATTCAAGAGCAGGTAGTAGGTCAGGATGTTTGGTGAGCAGCGCCGGCTGACCAAGGCGCGACATTCCAGCATCCAACTTCTCCCATCGGTTGGGGATCCTTGACCTTTTGCCCCAATCGAGCTTGGGCATCTCCTTGATCATCTCTCGCCACTGCTGTATGTCTGCGGCCCTTGCCCAATCCAAAAGAGTGTCCACACTGACATGAGGCTGCTGCGATTGCCATGGAATGTTGAAAGTCCGTGGGCCACCAGGATTCTTGTTCACCCAGAAATCACGATCTCGGGCAATGATTGAAGAATCAATGGCCCAATCTAGTAGCCGCAGCCGCTCTTCGAAGGAGTAATCCTTCTGGCCATGTTTCCGTCCCTTCGATGGCTTCTCAGGAGTTTCTGTGGCAGCTCCCTGGGCCATAGTCGACTTCTCTGGAGTCTGCGCATCCTGCTGGACAGCTTGTAGAGATCCTTCATCGCAGCTCCCAAATTCCGTGGACGCAATCACCACCCTCTCCGGAATTCTTGCTACACAATCATCAGCACGCTCCTTACACCCAATTGCTGATCACGTCTTATTTGGTGGAAAGTGAGAAGTGTAGAACCGCACCCTGATCCTGTGTACATCTTCTAGGTGGGAATTTCCCAGGTGTAACCCTCTTTTGAAAACCGGTCCGAATGCGCTGTTATCATCAGCCATGTATGGGTTGGGGCCAAATAGCCCAAAAGCAAGGGGCCTCCTAGTTATGGTGGTGTGTCCCTCTAGGTGGGTAGAAACGTGTCATAAGCGTTGGAAAAAACCCTCAGTCTCCCTTCTGCTGCCGTGTCACTCCTGGAGCCATCTCAACTGCAGCAGGCCTTTTATCTGCAGCAGTCTGATCAGCCACACAACTTTTCGCAATCGCCGCCTTAAAAGTGTAGAACCGCACCCTTATCTTTTGGAGGAATGCATTGCTTTCTTTCTGGCTACTGCCACTGCCGTCAAAAGTCTTGCACAGAAACTAGCTATACTCCTTGTGAATCCCTTGCTTACATCATGTAACCCCTTCGCGGCTTCATGGCCAAGGTACATGCGCAGCAAGCTTAGAGCCGATGCCTGGCTCCTGATGTTTGTTGCGACCGATGATGTGTTGGGGCTAATCTCTTTTTGGGCAATATGGTGGGTTTCTGGACTAATTCCTTTGGCGGAAGCTTGGTTATATAATGGGCACTTTATTGAGGCTCTCTTTGCCACATATGGTACAGCAGGATACAGCAAGTAGGTTTACTATTGAATGAACATGTGTGGCCCGGCGCTCCTGTGGGTTGGCTTGCAGCCCGAAAAACGTGACCGCGTCCGCTTTGTGATCCCACCGCAACGACTCCAGAGGAACTGGCCAAGTACCTTCTGCTCCTCGCTCAACATCCAGCCAGAGCTCGCCATGCACGTCGAAAATTTTGATGGACCGAAGCTTCGCACGATCCCCAAGCAGCACAGGAGCATTGATGTCGTCATCTTTTCCTGCAATCTGGAATAGGAAATATAAATGACATAACATCCGTTGGTGGACCGTTCTATGGTGGAATGAAAATATCTTTGGAACATTCTCAGGTGGACCTAGAAAATCCACCTTGAAATTCCACCTGACAGTCACCCAGAAAATCCACCTACAAGATCCACCTAGGAACGCCTGAAAGAGGGAATCTCTGAAAAAGCAAGTTTGAAAAGGCTGATTGCAAGGCAAGGAACTCCAAACACCTTCTGAATTGCTTTGATCCCACGCAGGAATCTCTTTGCTACCCAAGCTCCACATATGCCATGCCATGGGTACGCGGTGCATGTAGTGATAGTCTAATAGTGTATTTGGTCACTCATGCTTTAGAAATGTGAGTCTTCGTTTTGCCAATGATAATGATGTGCAACCATGAGACATGCTGTTGCTTCAAGAGCCATAACAGCTGTTGGCCCATTTGTTATAACGTGCAGGCGGACATCGGACATGGCTGGATTTGTTCGTGGCTATTCGAAAGTCTTGGCAATTGAAATTGTAACCCATCGCCATTGTGAGGTGTTCTCCTCCACCTAAGAAATAATGTGTTTTTGCACAAACCCCCTACTTTTCGTGAACAAAACATCACCGCTTTGGGGTTTGCAGTTCATCCCCAGCCCGTGGGGCACCTGGTGCCGCACAGCAGCGAAGGTCACCGAAGGCCACCGAAGGTGTTGTCGCGGAAAAACAGGCAAAAAAGGGAACTAGAAAGGCGTTTGCTCCAATTTATCATCCGCGGTACATGTCTACTTACCAAATTGATCCAAATTGGATGAGCCGCCAAACAGCTGTGTTCCTAGGCCATTTCTGGCTACAGATTGCATCCTTATCTTACAGGAGATGCCAATCCACAACCTTTAAACTTCATCAAGCAATCCCACAGGCCGCTCTCAATACCATTGTATTGGGTCTAACTTTAACAACTCGACTCATAGAGTGTTCCAAATCATCAGCACCATATATTTGGACCATTTACCTGCATATATTCCCTGTGGTTTGCAATTTTTTAAACATGCGGAGTGGGCCCTACAATTTAAACATACGTGCAGAACTGGTATTTCATACTACCTCCGAGCCTGACTGCCCTGGCCCGGCCACCACATATTTAAATGTGATTACCGTATATATCTAGGCCAAAAGGGGGGGTTGTGCATCATTATGTAGACCCATATTCAACACTATAACCACTAAATTCACAACTATCAAAACCACCATGAACCACTACCAGGTGTTAAACCATAATAGTTAATTAGAATTAATTGGCTGGTTAATGGTTTAATAGTGGTTAAACTGCCACAATCATTATTCACCATTTACCTTTTGGTCAAAGGAAGTTTAGTTTGAAAACTTCCGAGTTACGGACGATTGTCATGGGCAGCATTCTCACCATCATGTCAACCACATCATCATGTCAAGCACATCATCATCACGTAGTTGGGAAGTGTAACAGGTCGGGAACGCGTGAATGCAGCCTTGAAAAGACTCTCTGGCGGGGCGCGAAACCCTGTTTTTTTCGGGTAACGTGGCCGTCCGTGGTCGCCAAAGTCGGGACTCTGTTTCCGTCAACAAAAAGCGCACAAGACTGTAGCGAGAGCTCGATTTCACATAAAAATCGTAAAAAACTGTCGGGCTCGGAACACTTTTGGAAAATGAGGTCAGAAACGTCCACGAGACTGTAGCGAGAGCTCAATTTCATAGAAAACATATAAAAACCGTAAAAACTGCGGGCGCGGAACATTTTTGGACGATGAGGTCCGCAAAAGGTGCACGAGACTGTAGCAAGAGCTCGATTTCACATAAATATTGTGCACTTTTGGAAAATGAGGTCAGTAAAAGGTGCACGAGACTGAAGCGAGAGCTCGATTTCACGTAAAAACCGTAAAAAAATGCAGGCGCGGAGCACTTTTGGACGATGAGGTCGGCAAAAGGTGCACGAGACTGTAGCGAGGGCTCGATTTCAAATAAAAATCGTTAGACACTGTTGGGCTCGGAGCACTTTGGGAAGATGAGGTCGGCAAAAGGTGCACGAGAATGTAGCCACAGCTCGACTTCACATAAAAATCGTAAAAAAAAAATGAGGGGCGCGGAGCACTTTTGGACGATGAGGTCGGCAAAAGGTGCATTCATTCATGCATGCATTCATTCGTTCATTAATTCATTCATTCAAGGATTTATTCGTTCCTTCATTCGTTCCTTTCATTCCATTGATTCATTCTTGCATTCATTCTTCATGCAGTTCATTCTTTCGTTCCTTCATTTCATTTCATTTCATTTCAGTTTAATTTTTCCAGCTCACCAACACGACCCAAAAAAAGCAAAATGTTTCCTATATTCATGTCCCTTTTTGAAACTTCCGCCCCGGCGCGTGCCGGTCACTACCTGGTAATTCAACATAGCTATTGAAGCCATGGCCCATTTAGTTCGTTGATTTGGATTTACCTAGAAAAAAGATGGTGATTTCCATAGTTATCTTAGTTTACCAGAGGGTAACTTATATGGAATCTCCTCATTTACGGCTAATAAACCACAAAAAGGATGCCTGGGCTGCACCAAAAAAAGTCATTTCTATGTCGTTTACCAGAGGGTAACCACTAAACCCCCGCTTTATAGGTGGATTATCATAACTATTCTTGACCATTAACCATTTATCATAACCATTGCAATAACCATTAAAATGATCAATGGCCATCTGGTTGGTGGTTTCAACCCCTCTGAAAAATAGTCAGTTGGGATCATTATTCCCAATATATGGAAAGTCATAAAATTCATGTTCCAAAATGTTCCAAACCACCAACCAGCTATATATATATGTACAGGGAAGCGACAATGTCACGCCTAAGTCATGCCTAGCGTGTTTTTGAATGGCATTTACCATTGTAAACGCTGTATCCAAGAAGTCATGCCTAAGTCATGCCTAAATGCTTTTCTGCATGGAACGCTGTCCTCAATAAAAGTGTAACCATGCATTTTAGACATTAAAAACAAATGAAACACAATAGAACGCGATTGATGAAAATATTGATTTTCTACTCTCTTATAATGTCATTCTCGTGTGCAACCTGCATGTCAACGCTGGGATTCTGCATCATTATTTTTCTATTCTCTGGGTCACTTCGGCAAATTGTCAGGCAATTTCGGCTTATAATTACCCAAGGCACAACGATTTTTTCCTAAAACAGGTACGACTTTGTCAGATGCGTGTACATAGTACATCCATATGGTGGTTGATCTAACTTCCTTCATCCTACAACGCTATATTAGTCAATGGGCCATTATTAATGGGAAAAATCAACCACTTATAATGGGAATAGTTACTATTTTAAGTGGCTTATTTGGAACCATCAACATCCATCAACTAATAGATATTAGTCATATATCACCATCATCTATCCATCATTAGTCAATGGGCCATATTTTTCTATGGTTTACATCCATCAACTGGATGGCTATATCAGTCAATGGCCCAGTATATATATATTCCAAACCCCAACATTATTAACCATCAACATCCATCAACTATAGCAAATAATCCACTGTGCCTTGCAAATAATCCACTGTGCCTAGCTGGTAAATGGATGTTCATTCCCCTAAAAACTGTATTTTCATAGGTATTGATCCATACCCAACTAGCAAATAATCAATGGCCCATGATTAAAACCATTCATCCAAGGCACAGTCGAGGCCCAGGCGCTTCAGCGAACCCTCCACGGCCTCCAAGGTCGAGGCCAAGTCGTAGGTCTCGCCGTGGCGCCCGGGGAAATACCTGGGTAGGAAAACCCGACAGGAAAACCATGGGAAAATGGAGGTTTTTATGGGAAAACCATGGGAAAATGGAGGTTTTTATGGGAAAACCATGGGAAAATGGAGGTTTTTATGGGAAAACCCTGGGAAAATGGAGGTTTTTATGGGAAAATCATGGCAAAATGGAGGTTTTTATGGGAAAATCATGGGAAAATCATAAAATCATGGGAAAATCCACGATAAATGGAAGTTTCAATGGGAAAATCACAGGAAAATCATGGGAAAATCCACTAAAATGGAGGTCTCAATCAAAAAAAAATGCAAACACCATAGGAAAACCATAGGAATCCACTTCTAAATGCTCTATAAATGTGGCTTTTACTGGGAAAATAATCGAACTAAATGATGGATTTCCAACTGTTATGGGAGATGGAAACCGTAGGAAAACCATAGGAACACTATGTTTTCACCAGCAAAAAATGAGGATTCAATGGAATTTATAGCTGATTTGTAAGAGCTAAGTTAGTGTATAACTCCAATAACGTTTGGGTTTATGGGGATTATATCACTGGTTGGTGGTTTCAACCCCCCCTGAAAAATATTAGTCAGATTGGATCATCATCCCAACTATCGGGGAAAATAAAAAATGCTCCAAACCACCAACCAGATCAATATTATATCTATAGTTTAATAATGCTTAAGCGTACCGGTTGGGTTTATGGGGAATATCCACCGGGAATCGCCCAGTTGTTTTTGGATGGTTTATAGCTGTGAAAACAATCAACAAATAGGGATTCACCGGGATTTATACTGATAGAATAGGACAATCAAACATGGTTGAGAAATCCCTGCACAAAATGGAGGGTTTTAGCAGGACAATCATCTAGAAATGGTGGAAAACGTTATGAAAACGTGCTTGACGTTTGGGTTTATGGGAAATATCACGATGGTATTCATCGGTGTTTTTTAAATCAATAAAGACATTAGGAGGCTCATGCCGCGGACAAAGAAACTGCTTAGGAACTGTGAGTTATAAACCACTGTTATATGGGATCACCCACTTCTTGGGAGGGATTACCCACTAAAAACCCTAGCAGATCTCCATTTCCTGGAGGTATCCTAAGCAGTTTCTAATTGGGATCCTCAAAGTAGGTTCGGGACCTCCTCGATCAGTTTTTTCTAGTTGGTTGATAGGTATCCCGATAAAAATTGATTATAATATGTTATTATAATCCCCAATAAATCAGGTAGTATAACTCCTGAATAACCAATGAACAAGGGTATTTGTTATGGCTCATTTGAGTTGTATCATAAGTTATTACCCGCGAATTAACTTGGATGCACATACAGTACAAGTAGATGGGTCATGGAGTCAGTGATTCTTCCTTGTTTTCATTAGCTATCATAATCATAGACCCGTACCCAACTGGCTCTGTCTGAAAATGGGGAAAAAACTTGAAACTATGTAAATATATGTAACTAGTATCGAACAATGATGATTAAGCAGTTCATCGGGAGATAGCGCCAATTTCAGACCCATACCGAACTATCAAGCAATCCCAAAAAAGATAGACAAGTAAGATCCTACTAAAATAGATCAATAAGATAAAAATACCTGTGGTAATTCAACATAGCTATTGAAGCCATGGCCCATTTAGTTCGTTGATTTACCTATTAAAGATGGTGATTTTCCATACTTATGTTAGTTTACTAGAGGGTAAGTCACAGGTCTATCGATTTTGGCGGGTACCGGGGACTGTTTCATCTCATCATCAAGTCGTGAGAGACTCTGCGACAAATTCCAAGGGGCTTGGTGGCAATGGTGTAGGAATCCCGTGGCACAGTGCGGAGGAATTGACCCACCTGCTCCTGACTTCCAAGCTCCGAAGATGGATTAAGAATACATGGAAAAAATGGAGAAAATCACCCTGAAAAACAGAGCGTTCAACAAGTTCTTCACCATTTCACCGGACTCAAAAAGACAAAGATATGGTCATCTGGTTGGTGGTTTCAACCTACCCCTCTGAAAAATATGACTTCGTCAGTTGGGATGGTTATGCCCAAGATATGGAAAATAAAAAATGTTTGAAACCACCAACCAGGTAATATAATACATCATTTTACCAGCAATAATTTATGAGCTTTGTGTACTCTGAGGATTTTGAAAGGTGCACCAAGTCTCAAGTCTCAATGGCATAGGTTTGACCATTCCTTTGGACAAAAGATTTCCAGTACATGGATGTTTCCTAAGTCATGGGGGTACCCCCAAATCAACCAAGTCGTTAGACTAATTTGGTATTGAAACAACCAATGGTGACTTCGGGATCTCCATGACTTAAGAACCCCCCACTTGGATGTAACATGATGCAAGAAATTTGAAACCCACTTGGGTAGCCTTCCCCGGTTCATTGTAGCTGCGGAGCTGGTTATTATAGAGCTCCCGACAAACAAACAAACAAACAAACAAACAAATTGTAATTTCTGTCTATTAAAATACGTGGTATATGATATGATATGATATGTATGCAGTCTATGGAAAATTGTATTTTGCACACTTCGCCTTTGCGATGTTTTGAGGTTTTGAGCGGCTCACCCCTCAAACAATCAGTACTCAATGGTAACCCCCGGCACTGTCAAAGGGTCCTCGTTGTGTTTGGTTTGCGACGTGTACACTTCTGCAGAGTCAAAGTGTCTCACGGGGGCTGTGTTTCAACACTACAAGGTGAGGCCCCCTAGATTCTAGATAGCTAAGTTGGGTGATAACTGATATTTCACTGGTTTATAGTATGTATATATCATGCATTAATTTTATATATATATATATATTATTATTATATATATATATATTATATATATATTATATTATATATATATATATTATATTATATATATTATATATATTATATTATATATATATATTATATTATACCGTACTATGAATGGGGGTTAGAAACCATCTTACAGAAGAAGGTTCCATATGATGTTTCCACATGTTTCCACATGTTGCCACCAGCCCCAAAATGTCACATGCAAAAAAAAACACAGAAATCTGTGTCAGTTGTCGAGGGATTCCCAACAAAAAAACTCTGTGAATTTGGCCAGTTGAACAATCAACAAATAGCTGGTTGGTGGTGCAATAACCATCTTGAAAAATATGAGTTCGTCAATGGGAAGGATGACATAACCCATATATGAAATGGAAAAATTGAAAAATGTTTCAAACCACCAACCAGATCATTACTCATGCCCATGATCACTTCAAAACTCATTCCAGCAGCGAGTTTGGATCATGTTCCATCATGTTCCATCATTTCCCACTGCGCGCAAGCCACACCACCAGCGGGAGAATTTCAGGATGAAATCAGCCAGCTACAGTATCCTCCAAAAGTCCAAAAGTGTCAGTTTCATCATCCCCGCCCAAACCGAATCGGTTTGAAAATACTTGTTCATGAAAAACTTAACAGTTTGGATCCTACACTTCAAACAAAAGTCACAAACTCAACCCTTGGATCTTCCACATGTTTTCCATGTTCGACTCTTCGGATTCCTTGGTTTTTCGGATCACGTCGGATTCCGCCTGTAGCCCATGTCATAGGCAGCCTTCAGCAACTTCACGGCATCTTCATCTTCCATGGAAGCACCATAGAAGGCCGTGATGCCCATGCCTAAAATCACCATTCGATGAAAGACCGGAGCTTTCCCAAATCATACTGGTTGATTATTACATGGGGGTTCCATAGTCATGGGGGTACCTCCAAATCACTCATTTCAGTCTCGGATTTTCCATGAAATAAACCATCCAGCTATCGGGGTACCCCCATGACTATGGAAAGCCCCAAATGATGGTAAATGAATGTAAATGATCTATAAATGGCCATTGTCAATAGCTATGTCCAACTTAAAAAGTGGTGGAAATCGATTTCCCGAAACGTGGGACGAAGTAATCCCAGCCCAGCGCAGATGGAAAAGTTGGCGTTCACCCTTAGTTTTGATGGATTTCACCAAGCAAAACCTTCGATTTATTGAATTGATACACCAACAGTGGGAGTTTGATGGATTTCGACCAAGATCAGGAGTCTAGTCAACCAGAATTGGGAATTGAACCAAAATTGCGGAGCGATTTCATCCACGGAAAAGCTCCTTGAAGGTTATCAATGACCCCTAATATGAAGCCCACAAATGCGGAAGTCTGGAGGTATCATAGTATGATTCAAAGTCGAATCCATTTAAGGAAATGAAATGCAAAGAACAAGAACAAGTGTGAACCAATCAAGAGCCAGGGTTAGCAATATCTAATATCTTTAGTATCACCACTAGACTGCCGGTATCTAATCCAGCAAATATTGCAGAACCAACACACATTGACACTTCAATCTACATCAAGTGTATAGCCGTGTATATATATATATTGTAACATAGAACAGTGATTTATCATGATTTATCAATATTTCGTTGGATTTCTAATTGGTGGTTTCAATCCCTCTGAAAAATATGAGTTCGTCAGTTGGGATGATTATTTCCAATATGTGGAAAAATAATTTCATGTTCCAAACCACCAACCAGATTTTATTGTTCTATCTTTTTTCTGGGTGTTGCTATACATAGTCTGCCTGCAACGGTCCTTTTTTTCCCGGAGGGTCGCATCTCCCTGACCTGACCGACGTGACAAGAGACATCCAAAGCCCAACGGCGATACTTTTAGTCCTGGCTGCCAGGTTTTCGGCAGGGAATGGATGGGAATGGGGGTTGCTGGGATGATTATTACTACTGATTATGGAACATTCCCGAAAATTCCCTGCGCTTAGCACCAGTAAGAAAAAAACATGGAATCATGGAATTGCACTGCCATCTCTCCATTTTCCTGCGATTTAATCAAGTTAAATCAATGATGATCCCTGGTTTCAGAATTGTCGAGCCCAAATTCACTAGTGGTGAAAGCCTACACCAGTTTGTTTGCCCATATGTTCAACGTTAAATCCCTCCATATTTGTTACGCCCTCAACGTTGGTTGCACTCCCCTAAAAAGTTTGTACTGACCCAAAATAGCCCATAGAATTGGTTGGATATATCGACCATAAACCCGTGAAATGCTAGCTATAAACATCTATAAACCCACTTAGCTAACGAAATCCCAGTCAATCCCCTTGAAGCATCATGTTTAGTGCTAAGTCATACAGAAATGCGGCGCCACTTTGTCAAACACAAAGCCTTTCCCCCTGCCTCCGCCCAAAGTCAGATCCATGGCTCAAACCGGCCGGATCTCTTCAGAGCCCGCGAGGTGGCTACGGCAAGCTTTAATCAATGGCCACCTTGTGGAGATATTCGCTGAATTTTTAGCCTTAAAAACTAGGGCCTTTTATATATATATATAGAGATGTATATATATATATATATACCCATATTCCCATATTCCCATATTCCCATATTCCCATATTCCCATATTCCCATATTCCCATATTCCTATACATATACATATACATATACATATACATATACATATACATATACGTACATATACACATATATATATATACATTTATATATATACATACATTAATATACATATTATACATATATATATATATGTACATTTATATATACATACATTAACCCAGCTTTGCAACCCAACAGCATACCTGAATCTTCCACCTACGTCTTTTTTCAGACCCTGTGCCAAAGTCCTGTTTTTTCAGTACCCAGAAAACTTTTCAGGACCTACTCTCAAATTCAGGACCTGGCCATTTTGGGGTATCAATGGTAATGGCAATCATTGGGTGCAAACATGTGAAACCAACATTTGGTGGATATTCAAGCCATTGGCATTGATCCACGCAAATAAAAGCACTCCCAGCCCAAACTCATGGCAAGGCAGGATCAGAATATAGTATATTCCAGAAAGTATGTCAGAATAGATGCCAGATAGGATGCCAGAAAGAATGTCAAATAGAATCTCAGAAAAGAATGTAAGATAGTATGTCAGAACATATATGCCACATATACGTCCGGATGATATGTCAGAAATTATGTCAGAATAGTGTGTCAGGGTGGGGATCACTCTTAGTAAGGCAATTTTGAAAATATATTTCAGGTTCGGAATTTTCAAACTGTTGTCCTTCAGGCGCCGAAGCTCCCGTTGAAGGTCAGCATCGCCCCATGTCAACTGGTCCAGTCCCACTTCCATTTCAACAAGTCCAACTTCATCGATTAGGGTGTTGGTTGAATGGACTTGGGACTCTAGCTGGCACGGCATCCCTTGTAACCCTGTAGACACTGTAGTGGGCAAAAAGATTGTAACACACAGAATCAGCATCATTTTGATCAGGCATTCTTTTTGCTAATCCTTTCTCCCTATTACGAAAAATACCCCCAAATGACAAAAACTAGGTGCGATTTCCAATTTTGGGACATGTCAAATTGGTTAATTTGATTTTTAATTGATCCCCTTGAGGAAACAATTTTGAAAATGAAGGTACCATGTGAGGGTTTCACCCCCAAAGAATAAAAAACTAGTCAACACCGGGGTGTCTTTTATTGGGGTCCGTCCTTTAAAATCGTCAATTTTAGTTTTTTAATTCAGGTGTTGGTGTTTTATTTGATACTAGGCGAAAGCTTCGAAATCCTATTCTTGGCAGTATTCTATTTAAAGATTATTTTCATGGATTTTGAAATTAGAAACAAAAACGGTTTAATCCCTTCCCCCTGTTGCTAAACAGTCGCCCCTTCACCCACCCACCCAAATAACAAACACCTGGAGGAGTTTTTAGTATTGGGGGGGTCTTTAGTATTAGGGTACGAAGCTTCCCCCTAATACTGATTTAAAAAAAAAACACACACACACATATATATATATATACACATATTTCTATTTCAAAATCGATCAGATTTCTTTCTTTTTAAATCCAATTAAAATATGGCAAACAAGTGGATTCCGAAGCTTAATATCAAATAAAAACCCCCAACATAAAAAACTATGTATGTTTTTCTATTTCGAAATCGATTAGATTTCCTTTTAAAAATTTAAATAAAATATGGCCAAAAAATTGGATGTCGAAGCTTTTCCCTTATATTAAACCCTAATATCATTTTGTTTTTTTTCCTGTTTCAAAATCGATTAGATATCCTTTTGAAATCTAATGAAAAAAAAACAAAAAATTGATTTTGAAGTTTTCCCCTAATATCAAATTAAAATCCAATTATTAAAATATGTTCAAAAATTGGATTTCGATGCTTCCCCTAATCTTGCATGAAAAATTCCAATATAAAAAACTAAATTTGTTCTATTTCAGAATCGATTAGATTTCCTTGTAAATTCAAATTAAGATATTGCCAGAAATTGGATTTCGAAGCTTTCCCCTCATATTAAACCCTCATATCAAAGACTATTTTTTCTATATCAAAATTCATTAGATTTCCTTTTGAAATCTAATTAGAATATGGTCAAAAATTGGATTTTGAAGTTTTCCCCTAATATTACATTAAAAAACCCTAATATAAAATATTATTTTTTCTTTTTTGAAATCGATTCGATTTCCTTTTAAATTGTAGTAACAAAAATAAAAACAAAAACCGGATTTCGAAATGTTTCCTCTAATATTAAATTACCAGCCCTAATATATTTTTAAAAAAAAAACTGTTTCAAAATCGATTAGTTTTCTGTTTAACATATAATTAAGATATTGCTAAAAATTGGATTTCGAAGTTTTCCCCTAAGATTAAATTAAAAACACTAACAAAAAAAACTATGTTTTTTCGATTTCAAGAATCGATTAGATTTCCTTTTGACATCCAGCAAAAATATTGCCAGGAAATGCCAAAAAGTGGATTTCGAAGTTTTCCCCCAATATTATATAAACGTTGTAATATAAAATACTTATTTTTTTCGACCTTAAAAGACCCTAGTTTAAAAAATCACCGGGGCTGACTAGTTTTTATTTTTTGGTGGTGAAATCCTGAAATGGGACCTTCATGTTTAATTTGTTTTTGAAAAGGTATCAATTAAAAGTCAAACTGGCCAGCCTGAAATTTCCCAAAATTTAACGCGGACCCTAGTAAAAGGAACCAATGTAATATTTTTGTATTTAGGGTACGTTTAGTAAAAGGAGGTGGGGATTTGTAAGGTTTTCAATTTAATATAAGGGGAAGCTTCGAAATCAAATTTGGCAAGATTTGAGTTAGATTTTGAATAGGAATTCAATCGGTTTTGAAATATAAAGTTCATTTTTTTAAACGAATGTTTTCAATTTAATGTCAGGGGGAAGCTTCGGAATCCAATTTTGGCAATATTTTAGTTAGATGTTATTTAAAAAATGTTTTCCAATTTAGTTTTTTTAAACCAAAGGGGAAGTTTCGCACCCTCATACTAAATACCCACTAGATACAAAAAACTATTCCGTGTGTTCATTATTGGGTGGGGAGGGGCAGACGGTTTTTTATGACGCAGGGATTGGTCAGGCATCACTTGCTGGAATTATTGGATTCTTTTGGGATGATTGGTATGATGTTTAGTCAGGCATGGTTCCCTTCAGTCATGCACGATTTTTGGAAAAATCCTATTTAGGCACGACCCCAAAATCCCAGCCGGCAAATTCAGGCCCGGGCCCGGCAAATTCCGGCCCGCGCCCTGCAAATTCCGGCCCTGCGTTTTTCCAAAATCAGGCAAAACCAGTAAATCAGGTATTAAGTCAGGTGTAGTTACCTTTTAAGTCATTAAGGCTAGGCAGGCATGGTTCCAGTGGGTACCTTTTAATTGTGAAGGCTAGTCAGGCATGGTTCCCTGAATTCAGGGGCATGGGTACCTTTTAATTATGAAGGCTAGTCAGGCATGGGTTTGGTTAAGTCAGGCGTGGGTGGGTACCTCTTAATTATGAAGGCTAGTCAGGCATGGTTCCCTTAAGTCGGGTGTGGTTACGCTTTAAGTCATGAAGGCTAGTCAGGCATGGGTACCTTTTAAGTGATGAAATCTGAATCAGGCGGAGCTCCTATTCTAAATGTGTTAAATCCAATTGTTCAGTGTGGAAAATCGATTTTTTGGCTGGTCTACGGGCAAACCCTGTGTCTTCCAATACCATAGCGTGCTGATGTCGCTTGCCTGCATAATAGTTAAGGCCAAAGCTTAGGTCATCAGTGTGATCCTGAAATGGCGCCACGACCAAGAAGATGACATGTGTAAAATGGGCCCTGGATTAACAAAGGCTGACTAATGAATTTGGAGGATGCCACTAAAGTATGACATGTAATCACTTTTGAGGAGCACTCTATGGCACGCAGCGCGCGCAGCCTGCTTTACGGTTTAGCGTTTGAAAGTTTTAGGCTTTGCCTCTATGGCACGCAGCGTTTGAAAGTTTAACCGTTTACCTCTATGGCAGGCTGTGCGCGCAGTACGCGTTACGGTTTAAAGTTTGGAAGTTTTAGGGTTATGTGTGTGGCACGCAGTGCGCGCAGCGCGCATTAGGGTTTAGGGTTTGGAAGTTTTATAGTTTATTTTATTGCATGCAGCGTGCACAGCGTGGGTTGAACTTTAGGGTTTCGAAGTTTTAGGGTTAACCTCCATGACACGATGGTTTAGGGTTTGGAGATTTTAAGGGGTACTTCTATGGCACACAGCGCGCGCAGCGCGCATTAGGGTTTAGGGTTTAGGGTTTGGAAATTTTAGGGTTTACCTCTATGACACGAGAGTTTCAGGTTTGAAGATTTTAGGGTTTATTTCTATTGCACAAAGCGCGCGCAGCGCGCATTAGTGTTTAGGGTTTGAAGGTTTTAGGGTTTATCTCTGGCACGCAGCGCGCACAGCACGCATTAGGGGTTAGGGTTTGGAAGTTTTAGGGTTTATTTTATTGCATGCAGCGCGCACACCGCGGGTTAAACTTTAGGGTTTGGAAGTTGCATAACACGATGGTTTAGGGTTTGGAGATTTTAAGGGGTACTTCTATGGCACACAGCGCGCGCAGCGCGCGTTAGGGTTTAGGGTTTAGGGTTTAGGGTTTGGAAATTTTAGGGTTTACCTCTATGACACGAGAGTTTCAGGTTTGAAGATTTTAGGGTTTATTTCTATTGCACAAAGCGCGCGCAGCGCGCATTAGTGTTTAGGGTTTGAAGGTTTTTGGGTTTATCTCTGGCACGCAGCGCGCACAGCACGCATTAGGGCTTAGGGTTTGGAAGTTTTAGGGTTTATTTTATTGCATGCAGCGCGCACACCGCGCGGGTTAAACTTTAGGGTTTGGAAGTTGCATAACACGATGGTTTAGGGTTTGGAAATTTTAGGGTTTACTTCTCTGGGACACAGC